GTTACATAATGAATGTATCGCTTTAAAATGAATCACTTATAATGAAACCATTATTTTGTCAAAAACTAGTGTACCGGATAGTGAATTAAAATCTCGGCCTGATACTAAAGATTTTGGCCTTAAACAAATAGAAGGTACAGGTTTATCCATGTCTGCGTGTCGAGAAATTGCTGTAAGTCTATTCGAATATTTTTATATTATATGCTAACATAGAAACGATTAGTACCTTTGTCCTCATTTTTATAGTTACTCAGGGAATTGAAACACGTCAATGTCATTACCCTTATTCGTGTTTTTTTGTCGCATAATGATCGTAAAGTATGGTTACTCTTTGATTTCGCAGAACATGATCTTTGGGTATGTTATTTTAATCGACAAATATAATTAATTAATTGGAGCATATATTTTAATAATGTTTTCTTTGGCAGCATATTATTAAATTCAATAGAGCGGCTAAAGCTAATAAAAAACCAGTTATGGTACCGAAGAGTATGGTTAAATCATTATTGTATCAAATTTTAGACGGCATTCATTATTTACATTCCAACTGGGTTCTTCATAGGGATTTGGTAATTATTCTTTATCGATAAGATTTAGTTTTTTCATAAATCTGTTACAATTGTAAATCTTATAATATTTTTTTCCAGAAACCAGCAAATATTTTAGTAATGGGAGAAGGAAACGAAAGAGGACGTGTCAAAATCGCAGATATGGGTTTTGCTAGATTATTTAACGCTCCTTTAAAGCCATTAGCAGATTTAGATCCCGTTGTAGTAACATTCTGGTATAGAGCTCCTGAATTATTGTTAGGTGCTAGACATTATACAAAAGCTATAGGTACGTTACTATACTTTGTGTAAATTAATTTTTTAATACGATAATATTATTTATTTTTCATATTACAGATATATGGGCTATCGGTTGTATATTTGCAGAATTGTTAACCTGCGAACCTATCTTTCATTGTAGACAAGAAGATATTAAAACGAGTAATCCATACCATCATGACCAATTAGATAGGTTAGCTCTATATTGTTATAATAAATAATCGTTTAAATATAACTACGTCATTGACATTATGGATATATTATTTTATAGGATATTTAATGTTATGGGATTTCCACTAGAGAAAGATTGGGAGGATATTAAAAAGATGCCTGAGCATCCAACGTTACTGAAAGATTTTAAAAGATCCAAGTACGTATTTGATCTTAGGAAAAAGATTAATCATTTAAACTTACAATCAACGTTTACTTTTCTTATAAACAGATGTTAATAGGAAGTTTTCGTACAACTTTTTAGCTATGCAAATTGTTCATTGACTAAGTACATGGATCGACATAAAATCAAACCTGACAGCAAGGCATTTAATCTGGTATAATATTAAATAGGATTTATATTACATATATATCGGTTAATAATGCAAATACAATTTTGTCATACTATTTTAAAATTAAACTTTTTTAGTTACAAAAATTGTTAATGATGGATCCGAACAAACGAATTACGTCCGAGCATTCTATGCAGGATGCTTACTTTCAAGAGGAACCACTGCCAACTCAGGAGTATTATTCATTTATTTCATTTTCTTCTTTTATTATTTAAAAAGTAAAAATATAATTATTAATATAAAAATGTTTTTTTAATGTTACAGTATATTCGCTGGATGTCCTATCCCGTATCCAAAAAGAGAATTCCTCACGGACGATGACACAGAGGAAAAGACTGAAAATAAAGCAAGACAGAATCAACAGCAGACGGTAATCAATATTCTAAAATAATATTTCTTTTAAAACTTTCAATTACTAAAACAATAATACTACAAATCTAGCAGCAACAAAATCAACAGCAACAAGGAAACGGTGATCATAATCACGGACAAAACGCTAAACGCGTTAGGCTAAACGGACCCCATGGAGCTCCAGAATTTCATCAGCATCAGAGTCATGCGATGACCCATCAACAACCACCAGCAATGGTATATTCTACCGCCCAACCAACTCAGCCATCGAATATTCATCAGCGTTTCTAATTCCTATACTTAATTCTACAAGAAAGAAAGAAAGAGAGAAAACAAAGTATAATAATTCAGTAAATATCAGTAATTTGAATCGCATGGAACAAACATTGAAAAGGGAGATCGTTAACGATGTATATTCCCAATAATATTACAACAATACAATTTTATTTATCTATAATTCCTATGTGTATATATGTGTACATATAGAATCCTAGAAGTTTTGCTTTTGGATGAAATCAAGGAAAAAATATATTTAAAAAATACAAGGAAAGAGAACGTGAATTAATGTCGAGAATTTGATAAGTAATGGAGAACGGTGGGACTTAACTGGACCCCGGAGCGCGCGCCAAATGAGGATATGATGGTGGTGGGGTCATTATTAGGAGTGCGCATGCGCTAAAGATCGGTCCGCCGCTCGATCTCGCGGCGGCACTTTGCGCCCTCCTGAAACGCAGTTTCCGCGAAACGTTCCTAGCGGAAAAAGTGTAAGTGTTGTGTGAGCGAAATCACGACATCGGAGATGTCAGCCACGGGAGTTGAACACGTTCTCCCAAAGACGAACGAACGTAAAGGAAGGTGAGAGGAAATAATAAACGGGAAGAGAAAGATAAGAAAATTGAAAGAAAAAAAAAGACAGAAAAAAAGGTAAAAAATTTTAAAAGAAGGGATCGTATTTGAAATTTATTATTTTCTCTGTGTATGCGCATGTGTTTGCTCTTATCGAACTTTCGAACGCTTCTCGTTCACGGTATTACAGCTTAAGCTGGTTCGCGTGTCGCGCAGGTGCCCACCCACGGCGCACCTGCTGATTCTTCTTGCACTTTATTTGCGATTCAATTTTGTAAGAAGAAGAAGAAGAAGAAGAAGAAAAAGAAGAAGAAGAGGAAGAGGAAGAAGTAAAAGTATATAGAGAGATACAAATCATTTAAACATTCTTTTTTTTATTCTTCATTTATATATTTTTATACAATTAAAGTATTTCAATTTAAAATACTTAAAAATGAATTACTTTTAAAATAATTTAAATTCAACACATTAAGTCTTATTCTTTAGAATAGAAAAAAGCAATATGTTAAAAAAGAAAATACTCGATTAACTTTGTCAAGAAAAGCTAGATCGAAAATGGAATTCCTTAAGCGGTACGAACGAACACCTGTTCGCGATCTAGAAAATTTCATAATAGAATAGACTCGTTGTTGACAGAATAAAATCTATCATTAAATGGTATAAAAATTTCAACGAATCGATTTGCATCTATTTATCTATATATCTTTTAAATGCAGAATTTTGCAGCAGTTTACCTCCGGGCGACGATTTAATATGCAACGAGTGTGAGTCAACGCGCATCGCGCAAAGTTAAATTAAAAGCGAATCGTGTCTGTTATTTGCGCTTGATTCTATGTAATAAGTATTCTTATACTATGATATTATCGTTATTACGTGGGTTCTCGATTATACATAGAAAGCATACTTGTAGAGTGTTATCTAAAGGTAACGTTTCAGTTGTTTCAATTGATCAATTATTTTTATTTTTCATTTTTCGAACGTGAGAAATATCAAACGAGGGAAAGAACAAAATTGTTGCGCTTTTATTTTGTCAATTATTTATTTATTTTGGGGGTAGGGGAGGGGATGGGGGGATGGGGGGTAGGTATGGGAGTAATGATTACGAATTCGTAGTTTAATTTTGCACCTTGTCAAAAGAGTATGATCCGCGTGTCGACTCGAAGACACTCGGTGTCATAGATACAAGTAAAAGTGAAGGGGGGACGATCCTGACCACTATCCACATCCAGTCGTCGGGGCCATGACCACGTTGCGACAAGGTAACCGCGGCCGGGTCGCATTGGTGCAGAATGAATCAAAACATCGATCCGCCGATCGAGCCCTGAATTTAAAACGCAGGTGCGTCCCATGCGTCCTGTCTTTGCAAAAAGGGAAAGTTTCGAGGAACAATTTAATCAATCCCTATCTCTCTCTTTCTTCTTCTTATTACTATTATTTATCATTAAATTTATGATAATACAATAAATGATATAATTCGATTTACGATCAATCCTAGATCAGGAATAGATCGATTGTTAATTATTTGTCAATTATTAACAATAATTGATCAAAAATATTAACAAAAATAATCCAAATTTGTATTAGGAATTGTTTCCCTTTTTTTATGAAATGCCATTTTTATTCTTTCCATAAAAAAGTGAAAAAAAAAAAAAAGAGCATATAACCATGAGATTAAGGAGATAGTCAGATAATACAAAATTAGCGAGTCATGATTTAGGGATCATTTAAGGACAACCCCGTAAATGTGTAAAGTGAATCGAGTCAAACTAGTAGAAGAACATTAAATGGCCTTCTTGCCGCCCCTGATTTGCTGCTTCCCGATATAGAAGTGTATTATTCACTGTTCGAGAGCAACGAATCCATATTAGTTCGAGACTCACATGGATTCTATCTATCTATCTAGCTAGCTAGCTGTCCTTTATTCCCGTCGTATCGAATCCGTATTTATTCTCTTCCTTCTCCCCTTATTTTATTTATTCGAACTATAGTCGGAATTGAAACTTTATGGAAAATCACTAAACGGTAGTTCCTCGTTCGTTTTGGTTCATGGTATAACCCAATAAGGAGATACGCGTTCCTTCTTCCTGTTACAATTTTTCAAATACATACGAATATACACATAGATAGATATCTACATAATGTATTTATATATATATATATATATGTATAGAATAAAAATGATAGTACGTATATCGAGAAAGTTAAACATAAATATCGGTACCACGTAATACAGATATATACCCTATGTAAGCGTACGAGAAGAACATATAGCTGCAAGTTAATGTAGAAATAATCGTTGCATTATATCTTTTTTCTCTTTTTTTTTTCTTTTTTTTTTTATTATCTTTTATTTTTTTTTATTTTTTTTTTTTTTTTTTTATCCAATTAATATATTCTGCGTAACGACGGATAATTCGATCGATTAATTCAAGTTTCTTGGCGCCACGTCTGTGAAAAAAAAATATACAGGAAAAAATTTGTTGAACGAGAGAAAGAGACAGAGACAGAGAGAGAAAGAAGACGATTATGTTTCTGGATGTGAAATAGTCGAGGTGACAGAGAAACAACATCGGAAAGCCCTTTTGTCGTACGAGTGAAAGACGTGGGAAGGAGTCCGACTATTCGTTCATGGCGAGAAAGAGAAAATGAGAAAGAGAGAGAGAGAGAGAGAGAGAGAGAGATGGTGTTCTCGGGAACGCTCCAAGAGACAGAGAGAAGAGAGACGAGGTCAACAAGGTGCCCGATATGGTATCCTACGTTGGCCACGCGAGTGTGTGAGAGAGCTCGTTCAATGCGAGAACCCTCTCTGCGTACGTATAATATACATTTATATGTATATATACTTACTCTTATATACTTATATACTTTATATACGTATGGCATGTAAGCTTGTTGCCTGCTTGCTTCCTATGATTAGTAATTCGTTCTGTCTAATACATACAGTCAAATACAATTTCGTGCGATTCTAAATGTTAGATGGATGATTGCTTCTTATTTATTTATTATTATTATTATTATTGTTATTATTATTATTATTATTATTATTATTATTTGTTTGTGTGCGTTTTGTTCTTATATTCACGATGAGACATATGATGCAAAGAATTGAGTCAGTATAAATCAATCAATCAATCAATCAATTTATTCGATGCCGTTTATCTATTTGATTCTGTTTTTTATTTTTCCTTATTATTCGATCGAGACAAATTTATTACTATTATCATACATTTGCAATTTAATTCGTTTAATTTTCTAAAGGAGGGACGATCCCGTTTGTATATATTAATATGCGGTGCTGAAAATAGAAATATGTTGTAATTTTTTATTGTTTTGTATGTCTTCTAATTAAATATTATTTTTATTATGAACGAACGAAACTAATCCTTCAGTGTTTTTGTCCAATCTTTGATATGGTAAACATTTGAAAAAGTTTCTTTTATCTTTTCTTTTTTTTTTTCTTTTCGTACGAATGAAACGATGATTCGTCCTTGAAAATAAAAAGTAGTCAAATAGGCAGAGAGGAGAACTCGACCGTAGAGTAAAATAAGAAAGAAGAAAAAAAAAAAAAATAAGAAAAAGAAAAAGAAACATTAAATATTGTTATATAGTAAAATAAATATAAAAATTGATACATATAAAATAATTTATTTTTCTCAATAATAATAATAATAATAATAATAATAATAATAATAATAATAATAATACTAATAATAATTTTAAAAATCATATTTATGTTCATTATTACGAATTGTTGTAAATTAATCCGGAAGGGTTAAATCTTACGTGACACATATATATATATACATAGTGAAAGAAAAAAGAAGTAAAAGAAGAAAAAAAAGAGATGAAATTGGTTCCATACGTTTTTCTTTCCTTTCATCTTGGCCTTCCTAAGATGGTCAGCCTCCGCACGAGCTGCGTAACATCGTCGTCGTCGTTGTCGTTGTCGTTGTCGTTGTCGTTGTCGTTGGTCGAAGCTCGAGGTCATCGATAGGAACGAGATCGCAGGAAGCTCCTGCTGGGTGTTGCCAATGTGCTTGCAACAGAGAAAGAAAAATGAGAGAGAAAGAGAGAGATAGAACAAAGTATGAATCAGACAAACACACGATCGTTACTATTCGTGACCGGTGCAGGATAACAATTCAAAAGTCTCGTATGTTGGGTGTCGTTTACCTCTCTCAAGTCTAACAATAAGACACAGGATTACTAGCACACAGCAAGTTTTAATAATCAGATTTAATAATCGAATTGTTCATTAATTAATATTTATCTTTACGAATAAGATTTTCGTTACATTTTGTTTTCTTTTTCACTCCGATCAAAATACAAGTTTCCCATAGTTTCAATAAAAACACTCAAAGTTATTGATTACTATTTAAAATATGCTACATATATCTTTTTTTTTTTTACATATATGTATATCAGATATAGAAATTCATTCGATTACTATTTAAAACAAATCTATGAATTTTTAATTCAACAAGAATATATATTTTGTTTGAAATATGCAAAGAATAATTGATACACGTATAATATAATATTTGTGACATATTTTTCATACTTGAGAAAAATATAAAAAGAAAAAGAAATGAAGAACTAAATAAATAAATGAATGACAATAATTAAAATCTATTTTGACTGGTTTTGGGTAGTTCTAAGCGTTAAATATCGAAGAAATCTATTTTTAAACATGACTAGAGGTATGTGCACGCGTTCAGTGATGCAATCATATGGTCTTTCCTCTAAGAGATTTCCCTTCCTACCATTCTTTCTTACCGGATTTCGTTTCTTGCCCTTACTCTCTCTCTCTCTCTCTCTCTCTCTCTCTCTCTCTCTCTCTCTCTTTCTTTCTCTTTCTCTCCCACTCTTTTCATCATCATCATCATCCTCTTCTCTTTCTGTTTGTCTTTGTCTGTCCCGTTATCATTTATGCGAAACATTAACATTTTTCAAAACACACTCTCTTCTGATCATCGTTCACAACCATCACCATAAACGGAAACGATTTAATTTAATCTAACGAATACCATACTTTCTTTTTCTCTCTCTCTCTCTCTCTCTCGATATAATGCAAAAATATTATAATCTTTTAACTCTAAACGATTATATTTTATAAATACGAAAATACTTTATCCCATTTATATATATATATATATTTACCGTTTTGAAATATTAATTATGAATTAGCATAAAGTTCCAATTAGATATAAAAATACATCGTTTGTCTTTTCATTGGTTTTTTGTTTTCGCAAAGATAGAAGGTATAATGATATAAAAATAAATGAAAATAAAATAAAGATTTGAATTTTGAAGTCGAGATTATAACGTAGGCAGATTAATGCTTATGAAAATGAGAATCTCTTCTTTTTCTTCTTCTTCTTCTTAACGTGGACGCGTATAAATTTATTTACATACGTATGTGTGTACATATTTATTTATTTTAAAGTAACGTTACACGCGACCTCGATTTTAGATGATGATTTCTACGCCCCTGCAGATTACATGCGAGTAAGCGAGTGTACGTAATACGTTTCCTTCTTGCGCGAATCCACCACCCGCGTTTAAACGACTACGTAAGTTTATATATATGTATGTATATGTAAAAAGCATATACACGTGACACTTACATACACACACATATTATGCATCTTCATCTCGTGAGTTTTTTGTCTATATACGTTTATATGCATATATATGTACACGTATGTATGTATGTATGTATGTGTCTGTTAATGCTCATAAATTCCATTTACAAATGCATATACTATATAAACGTATCTTTGTATATACATATGTGCATGTATATGTATATGCATGTATATTAGTCCAACCTAGACCTCAACTCCGTTCCTCCGATCTTTATTGGTTTCTCTCTTATCTGACGATACGAGACGTTTTATGAGAAGCTCCTTGTTCGTTTATTCTCTTGAACAATCATTTAATACATTTCGCACAACGTTAAGAATATTTAAAAAGAAAAAAAATTCTTTTATCGCTCGCAGTCTGAATTTGGTATTTACAATCATGCATAGATATTTATTTCGTTTTTAATTACATAAAATATCAGGTTTGGGACAAATAAAGGAAATAAATTGTTTGATAGTTTATCTCTTTCTGACCAAAATTATAAAAAATAAATTGCTTTTGGTTTTATTAGAAAATTTACAACGAAATGGGAATAAAGAAAAAAAAGGACAACTTATACTCTCGATTAGGATCATCGTTGTAAGAATAATTAATCCACCAATGGTAGAATAGAAAAATAAAACTATAATATATGTATATATAAGTATATATATATATATATATATATAACACTTGTGGGCCGACGAAAATGGCCACCGGCACGGAAATTCCTTTGAACGAAGCGGTTTTATTCTTCTCTCTGTTTAACTCTCGAAAAGTTTCGGAGTTGCGACGAAACACTCCGGCTAAGGCTTTCCATGTGCAGCAACGTTATGAATCATAGTGCAAGTTGCCGTCTAAAAATGGCACGAGAGCAACAACGAGGTGCTCGGAAAAATACGTTTTATGCGTGTGTACGATCGAGAGAGCTCGATTTCTGGTTCGTTTCGAGGACGAATCCTCGAGATTCACTATGGCCTTTCGATTTATTTTACACCTCCGATTACCCGTCCATGACAACGCTTACGTATTTGTATATGTGTAAATCCGAAAAGAATATTTAATGGAGATGTTAAATACGATAAAAGACAAAATATATAATATTTAAATATAATAGTAGAGTATATATATAGGAAGGTATTACTTTATCGTGTCATCAAGTAGCAGTTATATTTAAAATTCGAAAATCACGCGCTAATTATCGTCCAACGTGTTAATGACCAACCAGACTGAATCGTTAAACCCCCTTCCTATTCCCACATTCGTCGGATGTTTTCTTTTTTTTTTTTTTCTTAGAATATATTAATCGTATATTAGGATCATCGACCTTTATCGGCGTGTAATATCTTCCAAGTGTTTGAACGCAACCATCAAGAAGACCTTTTTAAAGTGGTCTCGTATATCATTTCTTATAATAAAGGACTACGTTGTGAAATAATTTTGTTTATTATAATTAATTGTTGGTTTTTTTTTCTGTTGTTTCTTTTTTAGATTAGGAAGACTTTCCTAAGAGAGATACAACATGGATTCGCACGTGGGCCTCGACTATATCGTGGACAATCCCGACTATTGCATAAAACTTGCTTCGGGTAATTCTTCTTCATTTTTCTTTTTCTTTTGTCTAGTTTCTTTTCTATGTTACTACATCCTCCTTGCATTTTCGAAATACTTGACGAGGGATCGATAATCATATACCTACATACATACATACATACATACATACATATATAAATAAATATGTAGTTATATATGTACATACATACATACATTGCAATTTCAGCATTGGACACGGCGTGCACTTCGGTGAAGAAACAAGTCGTTGAATTACTCTCAGCGCTCTGTGTTTATAGTCAAGATGGTAGGCAGCGTGCTATTGATACGCTTCACACGTATCAGGTAAATCATACCTAATACAATATTATTATCTCGTTCTATTAATTCCTATTCGAGTTTTATCTAACGAATATAAAATAATCATTTACATTTCTAATCGTTTCCCCTATTACATGACTTTTACAGCATTCATACAATCAATTATTTATCGATAGTTTAACCATTAAATCTATCAATCGCGCGCGAGAGATACTAGTTTGATTTTATAATTATATAATAATCATAAATTCGAACGAGAATAAGAAGCAATGATATCGAATGTTCAGAATTTTCATGAAAATATTCAAAACCGGTCGGTCATTCGATCGAAAATCGTGATATTTTCAATATTTAATGAATTCAAAAATGTGTTCAGAAAAAGAAAGACGAAAAACTTAATTATACTATGATTGATTCACATTATTATTATTATTATTATTATTATTAATAGTATCAACTATCAATGAATTCAAAAGAAAGAAAAGCAATAAGCATTGAATGGAGAATTTTCATTGAAAAAATTAACGACCGGTCATTTGACCAACAGTCGTACGTTTAGTGTTTAATAAATTAGTTTTCAGAGAGTAAGAGAGAGAGAGAGACATGATTTAATTTGAATAACATTATTGTCGTCTAGCCATTATCTGCCTGTTTAAGAATTACTGGTTCGTACGTGATCTTTTTAAAAAGGAAAAAAAAAAGAGAAAAGAAAAAAACGACAAGGATGTCCTTCCTTGATAGAAAATTTTGCTCGCGAATTGTAGCTCGTAAACGGTAACGTCTCGCATTGAGATGCTAAGATGGTACAAGTCGTTTTACTGTTTGCATAGAGACGCGTGCTGAGCTTATGTTAGATAAAAGTCGTCGGTTCAAGGTTTTTTCCATAATAAAGAAAAATACGTTGATTTATTCGTACGACAAATTTTAGAACAAAAAAAAAAAGAACAAAAATCTTGTTATTATAGACGATAATTATACGTTATTTTTATAAATAAATTTGATAATCCCTTATTGAATATATTATTTTACGTAAATGATTCGATACGTTCGATTAAAAATCGAAATAATAATAATAATAATAATTTAATCGAAATGTATTCGGATTAAATTGAAAACAGGTGGATCTTTCTCGTGCTTTGAGATTCTTTTCTATTTATTTGGATACTTTTCACGGGGGGGGGTTGAAAAATTTTGAGCTTAACATAGAAACAATCATTTCATTTTTATTCTTCGAATATGATCTCTAGAAAATTGTAGAAAAATAAAATTAAAAGATTAAGCTCGAAATTGTTCAATTACTAATTCTCGTATATTTGTATACGAGATAGAAATGAAATAAAAAAAAATATGGAATACGAATGAATATCGTTAGGAACAAAGTTTTCTTTTTACAATTTTCACGCAGGAACGTAAAGGGGAACGTTATCGATTGCGAGTCGTGATCGACGAGCTGCAGAAAGCAACGGCCGAAGATTACCAGACAGTATTGCTGGCATTTATCAACTGTTTGGTTATTTCAACGCCAGAACTGAAAGATCGCATACGTATCCGCAACGAGTTTATCGGTAAGATACGAAAACGAAATAAAAAAGATCCTTAATTGGTTTGTACTATGAAATCGATAGTACGAAATCATTTTACGAACAATTTATGCAACAGTTTATTTTTCTTCTTTTAATTTTTTCAATTAACTTCTATCGCAAATTTGTAACAAGATCGTTTGAAAAGAATAACAATTTTTTTTGTATCATAATTTATCGATTCTCAAGAATGATTTAAGAAGGTTAATGGTATGCAACGTTCCAGGCCTTAAACTACTCCCAATCCTGAACGAGCTGCGGTGAGTAAACGTTTCTTCGACGACCTGGATTCATGGTATTAACTAATTAACACTTTAACATTGTGGAATAATAAATAATCATGAGTGTTACGAAAGGGCGCTTTATTGTACCCACACCTTATCTTATAATTGCACGTTTTTCATTCGCCCAAGCAAGCTCTTCTCGTCGTTGGACTAATAAACGATTTTTTCTTTTTCCTTAGATCAATTTAATTAAACAAGAAAAAAAAAAGAAAGAAAGAGATAGAGAGAGAGAGAGAGAGAGAGAGAGAGAGAGAGGGAGAAAGAGTAAGAGAGAAAGAAAATGAAGTTATAATAATTTGAAAAGCGTTGCATCGATGAAATAGCACGTTCTGCATAATGCATGTGCACTAATCCAAATAATCAAACAATTAATAATAAACTTAATTGGAGGAAGGCCTCGTTGTCAATTTGCTTCGGTAACTTTCATTGTATTCTATTTAGAAAAGAACAATAAATCTAATTAGAAACGATGAGAATTCGTTCTTAATAATAACTATCAAAGAGAAAGGATTTTCATCCTAACACGCTACATATATAAAACACGAACACACATACACACACACACATACATACAGTATTATACGTATTAAAAAATTCGATATTAAAAATTAGAAATAGAGAAAAAAAAATAGAAAGATAATGAAAGAGAGAGAGAGAGAGAGAAAGGGAGAGACGAAGATCGAACAAATCGTGGCGCCAATGTGCAAGAAATAGAATAGAATATGTAGACATGACGTTTCTCTCTCTCTCTCTCTCTCTCTTTCTCTTTCATTCTTTCTTACTCTCATTCTCTCTCTCTCTCTATCCTTTATTCTTTCTTTCACTCTCTCTTTCTAATTTTTTGAATTTTTCTCTTTCTCTATTTCTTTCTCTCTCTCTCTCTCTCTCTCTCTCTCTCTCTCTCTCTCTCTCTCTCTCTCCACATTCTCAGTAAACGACGAGAAATGGAGAGGGAGGACGAAGAAAAGGAGGAAAATAAAAAGGCCGAGTGTTGTAAGGGTAGAAAAGAGATAGATGGATAGAGCATGTTGCGAGAAAGTGAGAGTGAGTAAGCGAGAGAGAGAGAGAGAGAGGGAGAGAGAGAAAAGCCCGAATTAACTCTCCGGGCTCCTGGCATGGCGCATGGTGCACCTGCGACTGCATCTTCTGTTGCACTGGAGCAAAGGCTACGTTGCGTTCGGAGGATCCGCGAAGGAGGATCGCGTTTATTCGTGTATTCAAGATTATATATTTAAAACTAAGAAAAACATATACAATTGACTTTTTCTTTCTTTTTTTTTTTTCCCCCTTTTTTTTCTTTCTTTTAAAAACGAACGTCCGTCTCTCTTTTTCATTCTCGTTTTTTTTACGTTTTCTTAAGTCTTCGTTTTATTTTTCTTTTGAGTTTTTTTTTTTTCTATATTTTGTGTTTTACTTTCAATCAACGACCCGTTTATTTTTCGTCTTCTTTTTCTTTTTCTTCTTCTTCTTCTTCTGTGAGATCCTTCGTGGATCGATCAACGATTTAAGAGAACGGTAAGGAAGAGGAATCGAAAAGTGTGACAAAAGTTTAATGGAAATTGGTGTAATTCAATGGAAGAAGATTTAAAAAAAAAAAAAACAAAAACAAAGGATAATAACTAACGTGTGATGATAATATAATACGGATATTTTAAATGAAAGATATTTATTTATTAAGCATTATCAAGTGTTACGGTATAATATTAATCGATTAGTTTGATAAAAAAAAAAGTGTCGTAGTGTCGTTAAAAATATTCGAAGAAGGATTTCCATTTGTATCGAGTTAATACGTCGAACACGAACGGTCCAAACGACAATCGCAACGAATACAAAATTACATATAATATACGGAACTTAGGGTGTGAATGGGGTAGGAATAAAAAATGTAGCTCGACAAACGATACAGTGAAAATAGGGGGGCTGACTGATAAAAAAAAAAAAAAAAATAGAAAAGAAAAGAAAGTAAATGGACGAGGGGAAAGAATTTATCAAAGAAATAGGACAGGCTTGTGAAAAATTACATGCATTCAACCTCGGGGTGGGTGGTGGGGGGAGGAGGGGGATGAAAAAGGGAGTTAGATAAACGAAAGGAAAGTATTAATCAAAGGAGAAGAGAAGAGATCGCGATGAAAATGGGCTTTTGGATCCTTTTACTGATCCGTATAGTGTGTTAGCATTCCTTACAGTGACTCATGGTCGCACTCGGCGTGCTGTTCTCTCTTTATGTTTTATTCGCTTGGTAAGATCGATGGCGGATTTGGACTGGCATGGGTATTTTCGTACTTACTTTCCTCCTCCTCCTCCTCCTTCAACATCCCCCTCCCCCTCCTTCTCCTACTCCGTCTAGAAAGCTCTGGAAATTTCTTCTAACGTTCTGGACAATATGTCCTGTTTACTTGTCGCATCTCTACCAAATATATTCGAGGGAAGGATTTTTACCCACCCTCTCACTTTTTATTCTGTTTTCTCCCCTTTTTTGTTTCCCGTTCGTTCGTTCTTATTTTTTTCTTCCCCTTTTTGTGTCCAACCCCCTTTTTTTTGTGTTTCTTTCTTTCTTTCTTTCTTTCTTTCCCTCCTTCCTTCCTTCCTTCCTTCCTTCCTTCCTTCCTTCCTTCCTTCGTTCATTCTTTATCTCTTTCTTTCTTTTTTTCGTTTCTTTTTTCTTCTCGTTGTTTTTCTTTAAGAATAAAATTTCTTCTCCTCCCCATCTTTCTCTCGCGCACCGTGTTTCGAGCTTGTCGTGCCTATGCTCGACGAGGAAAACTATTTCCGTGCACGCTCGTCGACGGCATAGATATATTCTCGTAGCTCTTGGAACTTTCCACGTAAAATTCATATAAGCCTAGCCAGCAGCACCGCGGTTTATCCCGAAAACATTTACAATCTTATTAATCGAATTCGATTCTCATCGGATTGATGTCTAAATGTTTTTGTTTATGTTTTCACAAAAGTTTTACTATCGATTCAAATTTGCCGCCGCCAAATACGATCGGTCGATCGATAGATGATAGATTTCTGTCAAACAACACCACCACCACCACCCCTCCCCCGCATGCGGAAATTACTTTTCGTTTGACGACGCATTTTGTTAATCACGTTTATTCCTAATAATATAATGATTATTGGTATAGTAAGATGAAAATTTGATTGATTAATTTGCTATCAATCCGACGATTATTTTTTCGATCTATTTTTCTAAATTCAACCGCTCGATTTTCTCATCGTGCACGTTTAATATTTTATTTTTTGTATTACATTGGAATGAACAGAATACATAGATCGATGAACTCTTCTATCCATTCTTACGTATTCAAATATTTCAACCATTACGAATATACTATCTGACGTCAGATTTATTTGAACATTCGAACCAAACCCCATTCCTCGGTTTTCTTTTTTCATTTTTTTTTATTTACTCAACTATGTCACTTAGCCGTGACTGCCCGAACAACGTGAGCATGATTCGACTTGAAAATGATTATTATAATAATTAGCTTTGATAGAAAAATGTTAGATTCTCAAGAGTTTTTTAATCGAAAGATCTAAAATGTGTAAGTAAGTAAGTAAGGAATACTGCATGATAGAGTTTCTCAATGTTCATAGAGGTGTCTTGAAACGCGGAAGGACGTTATGGTAAAGTTTGAAACGTCATGACAAACACGTAACACGTAATCGACACTCCCACTACGTAAAGAAAGAAAGAAACGAATAACGGGCCCGAATGCTTTTCGAACGGAAGCGCCATTATTGTTTCTACTCGCGCGTCTTTCTCATTAAAACGTTCATACACGGTGTAATAATATTAGAAATTAAACATTTGTTTTAAATCGAAGAAATATAAAAACGGAAAGACTTCTTTTACTTTTCATCGGTATTTTTCTTTGCCTTTTTTTTTTTTTTTTTTTTTTTTTTTTTTTT